TTTGTAACCGTAATACCTTAGAGTACTAATAAACAGTTAAGGCAAGACTGCCGAATTAAAAAAAAAAAAAAAAGATATAGTTTTACATAGTAAGAGTTACTTTAAATTTTTTTATATTGTGTAACTCAGTAATCTTCGAGCTAATCAAATTAAATATCTACTATACTAGTAGATACCAAAATCTACAAATGTATAATGAGAAATATCTATAGATTAGAGACTGATGGTAGTAGTTGGAACTAGATAGTTTAAATGGACAACCTCTATAATTAAATACAAATATAGCAGATAGTGTGAAACTCTTAACATAGTACTAATATTTTGGGCAAACTATTTAAATTAGGCACCAAAAGTGTATATGTAGCTTAATATACTGTAATCAAGGGATTCAATTAAGGGTTTGAAAGTTTTGAGTTTTTAAGAGAACTCTGTATTTTTATTATTAGATAAGTACTTTTCCTGGCATCCTAGATCAGTATTGTACATAGGATAATTTTGGACAATTTTGGACATTTTTTTAAATTAAAATTATTCAATTTTATTAAGATAATCTATATTAATTTTTTCATAAATGAATCCAGCACCTAAAAAAATATATAATTATATAATTTTTTAAATTACTTTATTGATTATTTAAACATGGGACATAGGCTTGGACAATTTTGGACAATCTTGGACATTGGACATTGGACATAGTATGGACGCGTCCCATGTACAACACTGTCCTAGATGTCTTTTACATAAGTCTTTTTGTGGTTCTTTTATACACTTTGAATTTCACTAACACTTAACCTTCTAAGTCTTTTTAGATATGATCTGACAACTATGCACTGGCCCGAGTTATGCATAATGATCTTATATATAACGATTTATGCATAACAATCATTATACATAACGAATTATATATGACAAATCGTTATGCATTATAGCGAAGCTATATACTTATAAATAACGATACAATAATATTCTAGTAAATAACAAATAAAAATAAAAATAGAAGAAAAAGTACATATATAACTCTATTTTAAAAATGAAGTGCAGCCAATTGAGTAAGTTCATTATCAATAGTTTCGGCATTACATAACTCACATGACGGCTGTGCTGCATGCAGTTAAATAAAGTCACTAGGTCAAATCCCGATTTTTATGTTACAATACTATTATTGTAATTTTTTTTTTAATATTAAAATGACTACTTAGACTCTTGGCACTTTAGTAGTATAATTAAGTAGATTATTATCAAGAAGACTAGCTATGCATATTATATTAGTATCATGAGAGTACAACTAGTTATATGTACAACTTTTGGTTGTCTAATTTAAATAGTTTGCCTGAAGTATTAGTGCTATGCTAAGGATTCTACACTAGATGCCATACCTATAGCCTAACTAGAAAGCTATCTACTTTAAACTTTCTAACTTCAACTAACTTTATATATTTTCTCCTAATATACTTCTATACAAAAGTAATGTCGCAGCTGATGCTGAAAATGGCTAATACTGAAATTTTTTTATATTTTATTATAAAATTATAAAAAATTTTTGGGCCTTTTTTTTATACTTTTTTTTCATAGTTAGGTTAGGGTTAGTAGGGTAGTTTTATTAATAAAAATGTATATGTAGATTTTAGTAGATATTATAGATTTAAATAGAGACCCCAAATTTCAGCATCAGCCGTTTTCAGCATTAGCTGCGACAAGTAATTTACCAAATAAGATCTTAAGACTTTAACTATCAATCAAATTTGAAAGGTATTTATCCTTGTAATAAACCTAACAAAATGGTATTGTTACAAGTGGGGTAGTCTTCTTAATTTACTACCTGCAACATAGCACACAGCGACAAGAATCTCTATAACAACAGGGCAAGATATGAAGCAGTGTAGAAATAGAATATTTCCTCACTAAAGCAGTTCGGTATATTCATTAGAAGTATAGAGACATGATTTACTTTAGGGCAAAGATATATTTATTTATTTATAATACAATATCTAGATACAAAGCTATCTATAGATATCTATTTCTATAGAATCTTAATATTTTAGAATATTGCAGGGAACAAATTCTAAAGTTAAAGAAAGGGTAAAAGCTAGGGTTTATATAGCTTTTACAACATATACTAAAAGAATATAAAACAATAAGAAACATTAAAAAACATAATAAAATATTAAGAAACAATATGAAACATTAAGAAATATAATGAAACATTAAAAAATAATAAAAAATATTAAGAAACATTAAGAAATATAAAGAAATATTATAAAGAAATATTATAAGTATGGATTTACAAATATTGTAAATCTATTCCAGCTTATCGTTTGTCACTTCTTGGCTTATCTTTGTTTATTAATTGCCAGTTATCTATTAGTCTGTTTATTGTATATTATAGCTTGTTTTGATCATCATGGTCTTCTGAATCTTTTGAGAACATAATCTTTAATATGTTTTTAGGCGTTCTATAACATTTCTATCACCTTTAAAAACGGACTCTGTGAGTTAATATTTCATCTTGATTGTCTAATAGAATTATTAAATTTTTGCACGTTGTCGATCGTGATTAATTTAGAATAAGGCATATTCTATATAGCGTGGTTTCTGATTCTAAGAATTTTTCTTTTTCTCTTTTTGTTAATATTAATAATATCAACAATATCAACTACAATAACATCAACAACAACAACAATAACAATAATAACAATAATAATAATCATTAAAAATGCCTCGCACTTGTATTTCATGTGCTGTCTGACATTCATAACGTAACAGTAATGAGTTTTTTATAAGGCTCTTATCGAAGTGCAGGATCAGAATAGAAGGTAAATATTTACTGATTCTTATAATAGTTTTCAATAAAAAATTAATTTTGTAATCTATATTAGGTTGTGGCGAGAAATAAAATCCTTAAGGAGAAGAATCATGGTGTTGGAAGCGGAGTTAGAAGAAATTCGTTTTGGGATGCGAAGTCAGTAAAAAAGAATTGGAGAAGAGATGAAGAGCATTAGGGGTTGTTTAAGAAAGAAATCAGTTGTGGGTTCAGGTTGCTGAGTTGAAGAGTCGTATAGATAGTATTGCAATAAATTTAGATAAGAATTTGATTTGTAATTTTCTTTTTTTTTTTTTGTATATATATATATTATGTTTTTCAAATAAAAATAAATATATAAACTAAAAAAAAAAAATAATGATAATAATAATAATAATAAAAAATAATGATAATAATAAAATAAAATAAAACAAAAAATCAATCATTCGAATACTTTAACTAAGGTCACACTGAACTTGATACCTAGCAGGCAGCTCCCTTAGCTAGTCTTGAACCTGGGTCTGCATAATGACAGCCCTCCGCCGTAACTGTTAATCCATAGTTCAAATGATATTGTCATAGAGTTTTTTAACACTACCGTGTATTCGAGGTTTTTACTATTAAACTTCACTTGCTGGCTTGGCTTTACTATAATGACTGGAGTATTGTACAGATACTCCACCTATAATGTATTCACACAGATACAGCCGTTTATTCACTAAGAATTATCTTACAAACTCAAAAGTTAGACACTTCCCCTATTAGGGTCGATGCCTTATATATTATTACTTTTGATAATGATTACCACATTGTTTATGCAATCACTATTATACTAATCGCTAATTATTACTTCATTGTTCATGCAAATCACAATCCTGATCCGATCGTGATATTCGATCAACATGTACCTGATCGATATCACATGGGTACCACTATCCAAACCCTGGTGCTATAATTACCTGGGGTATTGAATTACACCACGATACAAGCTAGAACCCCAATAACTTCGTCTCCGAAGTTACAACAACAAATTCACTTAGCACCATAACCCAATTTCATACTACTTGAATTACTAAACTAACACTAATTCATATACCTGAATATTTACATATATACAAACACTAAATGTTTTTTTTTTCCCCACTATTATTAGCATTATACTACCCTAACATCCATTCACCCAAGCCTCCTCATCTCCAAATGACTTCCAAAGACAACACTTTCCAAATGTTCGCAATCACACCTAGCCAATTGATCCAAGTACAATCGCTTTATGAAATTAATATCCTTCAAGCTATTCAATGTAGCACAATCCCAATTTACATTATTCATTGGCACTATAGGTCTTACATTTCGACATTGCCATCGGTTCATATTGCTACTGATTATTGAAAACATTCCATTTTTCATCTTCGGTCTTTGTTTACCAATCAGATCCACAATTCTATCATTAACCTTTTTAGTTATCATTGCATTATTATTTCCTCGATTTCTACCCTTATCGCTTGTACCAACTTCATCACTATATTCAATCTTTCGGGCTATTTCCTCAGCATGTTTGATCTTTTCAATCATCTCTTCGTTCAATGCTGGTAAGTTTTCAATTTTCACATCAATTAATTTGTCATTCCATTTAACCACCATCCTTTCTTCCTTCGTTTTTTATCATGATCAGATTCGAGATTACTTTTTTTATTTGAATCTCTCTTTTTAGCAGATTTCAAATACCATTTAAACATTTTATTTTTATCCTTTTCGATACCAATTGTATCATACTTAACTATCGTAGCTCTACCATCTGAGCTATTTCTCCTTATCTTGCTCATATCTGCAACCTTTTGATAATACATAAATATCTTATTTTCATCTGTTTCAATTCCATTTCCATTTTCGTAACAAGATCTACTTTTTCCTATTTGATTAGCACGATTCATCTTTGCTAAATTTTGATAATAAGTTAATGCCTTATATTTATCCTTTTCAACATCAACATCATTCTCGTTTTCATAACAACACCCAACAGCATATACCCCATCAACATCATCCATCTTAGAAGTTTTTTCATAATATTCAGATGTATTATGTCTTTCCATTTCATTGCCAATTCCATTAGGATTACCCATATTGGAGGATTTTTCACAACGATTAAACATTTTATGTTCATTCTTTTTGGCATCAACTCCAATATCTTTCGGCTTATTTGATTCAACCCTTTTTCCACAGGACTTAACAAGTATAATTATGTTTTTTTTTTGCATTGCTTTAACCTGAAGTGTCTCATTAATATTTATACCCTTTTTTCCTCTTTTGATTCTTTTGATTCGACTTCTATCTTCATCACTATCGACTTTGAGATTAGTGATTTTTATAATCTGTATGTTCATAGCTTTCTTTCAACATTCATACTTCACTTGGTCCGGGCAAGAATGGGCCAAATGTCCTTGACATTGACAAACATAACACAGCCAAGGTCTGTAATATTTCCTTGTTATCTTTCATTCCTCCAGACTATTTACCAATTTAGCAACTAATTTTATCATGCTTTTAACTAATAACACCAAACCAATTTTTCCTTCCATTTTCTTTGTTTTATTCATTTATGACTACTAATAATGTTTTTTTTTTTCGTTACTTTATTCACATATAATTGCTGCCAGGAACCTTGAGTTCAACAATTAGAACTTTTCTTAACACAGCACAAGTCCAACTTTATGAAAATCTGCGAGAAGGACCTTCATTTGCCCAGGTCCTTGTTTGTCATGGAGTTTCTTAACACTACCGTGTATTCAAGGTTTTTACTATTAAACTTCACTCGCTAGCTTGGCTTCACTACGATAACTAAAGTATCGTACAAGTACTCCACCTATAATGTATTTACACAGATACAGCCATTTATTCACTAAGAATTATCTTACGAACTCAAAAGTTAGGCACTTTCCCTATTAGGGTCGATGCTTTATATATTATTACTTTCAATAATAATTATCACATTGTTTATGCAATTACTATTATCCTAATCGCTAATTATTACTTCATTGTTCATACAAATCACAATCCTGATCTGATCGTGATATTCGATCAACATGTACCCGATCGATATCACATGAGTATCACTATCCAAACCTGGTGCTATAATTACCTGGGGTATTGAATTACACCATGACAATATTAAAATTTTTCTAGCTACTCCTTTTAAATATTAATAGAGTAATAATCACATATTAATTACAGTTACTCTAAAATAGATAATATATCATGCAATATACAATTAAAAATTAAAAATAAAATTAAAAATTGTCTTGTATTTTTTATTGCCTTTAAAAATTTTCTTCGAAAATTCTAGTTTTTCAAAAATAATAATAGGAGTTTTCTATAGTATTTGCCAAGTTGGACACTGTTATAGTATTTCTTCTTGCTATATTTTGGAATTGGATTGAACTTTCTGTTCCTTTGGAGATTTTCAGAGTTTCTTCGAGTATTATTTTTGTAATTGTTCAATAAAGTCATTAGGTTTTAATCACGTGTTTTGGTTATAGTTGATTTAAAATAGACAATATATTATAAAATATATTATTTCTATTTTTGCTAAAGTCTTTCTTTTGAATCTTCTTTCTAAAGAGGTAAATAATTATAGTAATACTAATTTAGTAAATATGGTTTTCTTTGTCGAATTTTCACATGTTAGAATCATGTGTTTAAATAGTTTCTTTGTCTGCTTCTTCTTTAAGAATTAGGAGGTTTTTGGACTTCATGCAATTCTTTGTGCTAAAATTAGCTTTGTATTTTAAATTGATTTTCTTTTTCTAAATTTATAAATTACATCATTATTGTTTATGATTTTCTTTGTTTATACCATGCGATAGTTTTTCTTGGCATAAGAAAATTTAACCATTGTTGTAATTCTCATTTATATTCTTGTTCTTTGGTGTGTTTTGTTTTTCAAAAATTTCACATGCAAACCTTCTTCTTGGTACTTTTCCTTTTTATAGTTTCTTTACATTAAAAACTTTCTTGTTTAATACTCTTTTCTTTTCTTCTCTAGTTCTTCGATAACTTCTCTTGTTTTGTTTGTCTTTCTTTGTTGAAGGTAGGTATACTTTTTGGACCATGTGCTAAACCTTGTTAGTTTTACACTTTCGGAGCAACTGCATGTCTTCTATGTTTGGGTGAGCTAACAGTCCTTCATACTTGGACAATTGATTTTTTTTTTCATGACTTGTATAATTGACTGCATAGCCCCGGTGGATACTTTTTCCTGCTTTTTCTTTCTTTTTATACTTTCGTTTTAAGTATATTCATTTTAGAAAAAGCATTTTTTTTCTAATAACACTTTCATCAAAACTTAGGTGCCACAAACAACTAGAAGTCAGTCCGTTCTAGCTATTATCCAGGGGTTGCAGAATCAAGTGGTGAACCTCCAGACACAGCTACAAGAGCATGATCCAGTTGAACTAGTTCGGCAAAATTATGAAAATGATGTTCAGTTGGAGAGTTGCGGTTAGAAAGAAATAGGTTAAGAGTTCGGATTGCAAACTTGGAGACAATAAATGATGATTTGGAAATGGAGATTTTGGCATTGCAAAGTATTTTAGAAAACAGGCATGGTTTTTCTTGGGTAGAGTCCAGTTATCATTTTCTTTTTGTACTATATTTTGTTTTATTTTTCTAATAAATACTTTTAAAACTTTTAAATTTTGTTAATGAAAATTTTGAGCTTTAAACAATCGAATATCTAAGTCTAATAAATTTTCAAAACTAAAATTTTAAAATATCTAAATCTGATAAAATTGTCTAATATTATTGCTCTAATAAAAATAACTAAATAAAATGTATAGTTTTTGTCTATTGCTGTTTCAATATTTTTTGAAGTAATATTGCTAAAAATTTGATCATTGTTAGTTTATATAGATAATCTAATAAAATTGTTTAACATGTTCTTGTGTTCAATAATCAATTATAAATAGACTATATTTTTTATACTGTTTCTACATATTTTCAATTAATCTCAACAAACATGTCTTAAAATTTTTCTCAATACAAATTTGATAGTAGCAGTGATGACTAGAGTTGTTGGTGAAACTAATTTACGATGGTGCACCAGTTTTCACCAATTACTAATCACCAATCAGCATTGGTGATACTAGTGATATGGTGATACTGGTGATACTGGTGAAACTGGTGATATTGGTAAAACTGGTAATACTGGTGAAACTGGTGGAATTAGAATACTAAGAATATTTAACACTTTACTGGCACTCACTTTGTAGATACAAGATTTCATCAATAATTACTTTAATAGCAAGTTTATTTTACAAATATCTAAATCACTAACAATTAATTCATCAACATGTTATTTTATCATGTGATTGGATTTCTTGTTATGCTACCTGACTCAAGCTTGTTGATAAAGTGATTATAGATGAAGTTTTGTGTCTACAAAGTAAGTGTCGGTGAAGTAACACATATTCTCAATATTCCAGTTTTGTCAGTTTTACTAATATCACCAGGTATCACCAGTATCACCAGCATCACCATATCACCAGTTTCACCAGGTTTCACTAGTTTCACCAGTATTACCATATTATCAGTTTTACCAATATCACCAAATCACCAATTCGACTTTTAAATTTCACCAAGTTTCACTAGCTTCACCAGTTTCAACTGGTGAAACTAATTAGTTTCACCAACAACTCAAGTGATGACAAAAAAAATAATAATAATAGTCATCATTACTATTATTATTATAATAATAATAACAATAATAATAATAATAATAATGTCTTGTAAGTATATATGTAAAAGAAGAAAATACTTAATAATAATTAAATAATTAATTATCTATTAATTATTAAATATATTTATAGGTAGTTGCAGCAACAAGTAGAAGACCAGGCTGCAACTATTGCAGAGCTTAATCATATGGCTCTTGATCATTTGCAACAATTCATTTATCAGGAGCGAGAGCGAGAAGCTCTTATTGAAGAACGAGATAGGTATCGAACTTGGTTCAAGGAGCGTGATGCCACTTACTGAGATCTTCTTCGTCGGTTCGAGGAAGAAAGAAGAAGAAAAGAAAGAGACGATAATGGAAGAAGAAGAGTAGAGGAGGAAAATGAGAGAGGGAGAAGAGGTTGGGGTGTTTTTGTATATAGAGTAGTTTCTCTTTTTCTATTTTCTTAGGATTTTTCTTTTATAAATAAAAATAAAAATTTTGCTTTTTTGAGTTTTTCGTCTTTTTTTAGAATTTTCTCTAAAAATTCTTATTTTTTTTCATTTCTTTTTTCATTTTTTTTTTTTTGTTAGGGTCTTCTGGCTCTAACTATTACTTAAATAATGTCTTTTTTTTTTTTTATCTTGGATCAGAGTTTCTTAGGCTTCTGGGTCAGTTTCAGTTATTTTGGCATTCATGACATAAGTCATGTGATTAATGCCTATAAATATGTTAACCAATCATCTACTAATTTCAGTTTTTCTTTAGTTTTCTTTAAGATTTCTCCATTTCGGGTTGTATATATTTTTAGTATTTAGTCTTGGATTTCTCTACAGGTCGTCGAAGCAAATCCATCTTGAATTGTTTTCCTTCAAACGTGTCAAAAAAGTCGATCTTGGGTATGTTTTGGGTCTTGGGTTCGGTTTTATTCTCTTCTTTAGCTTTTTCTAGTTTTTGATTTTGTGCTAAGCAAGATTTAAGATCTTTCGCTTTTGCTATTTCTGTGTTGATCTAGATCTTTGCTTAGATTTTAGAATAGATCTACAAGGGTTAGGGTCCCATAGCCTAGTGGTCTAGGCGCCTAACCCTCCACAGACAAGGTCAATGGTTTGATTATAGCTAGTGGTAATTAATTTAATTAATTATCTTTGTAACCTACGGGAGCTTTCGAATGCGAAACCCTGTAAC